TGAACCTTTGTAATTCTTGCTGAGGTTCCTCATTCACAAGATACCTACCTATTCCGTATTTCTGCTCATCAATTACCTAGTGTACACGACGGTAAGACAGCACCTTACACGATATTACGTAATAGAGCACACCAGAGGTGCATTATGTAGCAATACTTAGGTAAGTAATAGGTAGGTATGTTTTTCTCCGAAAGCTCACTTATTTAGGTAGCTTTGAGGAATGAACGCTACTGCACTATCCCCTGCCAGACTTCTGGGTTTATCAGGCTCTGTGAGCCATTTTCACTTACACATTAGGTGGTGCCAATGTGAGTTACCTCTGATTACTTGGTGCTGGTCTCAAAGCCTGAGCTGAAATCATCTCTCAGAGGCCATTATAAACAGGTTTGCAGTTGCATGTACGGTACCTAGTAGGCCGTAAAGAAACCATAAATTTGGACAGGAGAAGATGTAAAGCTGTATGTATCCTTACCAAAACGCTCGCTTCACGTATGAACGGCCAACTCATGAACAACAGGTGCTCGGCATCACATAATTACCAACCTATTTTCATTCTTCTAATTTGGTACCTTGAATGGAAAGCATTCATTGACTACCAAATCTAGCATAAAAGAGCGGCCACGGGATTAATACACCACGCGCCGTTACTACCGTTGTAGGTAGGAATCAACGGCATATACCTGGAAGCAACCTGATCAACGAGATAGATCTACCTACCTACCTACACTACGTGTAACGAGGTGTTCTTAAGTGTGTGTCAGGTCTCACCACTTATTATACCTGAATCGATGTGAGGGTGTGTTCATCTTTCGGTGCTCTTTCACGGCATTCCGTTCTGAGAAGCTCATGAGCTCCACCCTCCCCCGGATGCCCCACTAATTATAGCCCGTAACGTCACAGATCCACGCAGCCATGACGATCGGCCTTGGCTTAGCCGCATTGGCATTGGCAAGTCCAACGCCTCAAAGCACCGAAGCCGACACAGTGTCGCTTGCAGTGAAAAAGAAGTGTCCCCCTCCTCTTCTGCTGGGAACGCAAGATAGAACGTTTCTGTCAGGATCATACAGAGTGCACCGAGGAAGGTTAACTCCACAGCGACACACGGAAGTACCTATGCCAGACAGGGTGTACCTATATGTGCTTGGAGGAGGGCCTCGGAAGTCGGATATGGATCAATAGGTACCTACCTAGGTAGGTTACCTAGTTGACAGTCGAGTTCCCCATGTTTTTGTTTCATGAGCATGTGGATATACACTACCTACGGGTACCTAGGTAGGTAGGTAGGTATTCCACCTTTACCTCTTCGCTTAGATGGAATTGGCAATGGATCACCCGTGAACTCTGGTTCGGGGGCAAGATTACATTGCGTCAAGCCTCCATACGCTAATCTACAAATGCCATACGTTATCTATGTCCTGGTAAAGTTTACTGTGCAGAATCGGTAATTCGCCTATTTATAAACATCTCCAACCCTCCAATCTCAAGTTCCCGAATCTTAACGTCCCTATGTTATGGCCTTTAGTTGTGTGGGCCGCGAGCTTAACTAGACTAGGCAAATGTTGTAAAGAAGGTATTTAGGTACTATTACGTACACACCAGTTAACTACCTATGTGTACCTATTCCGTATCTATTATTCATATCCAGCACGAAGGTACTTTGTACGTAGCGTAGATAGGTATAAGTAGTTAACTCTTGAAAATCACTCACCAGTGTAGAGTAGGTAAATACACTACCTACCTACCTACCGGTACCAACTTCGTATGCGTGTGCACTATTAAGCGTAAGTAAGTAATAAGACGTTACTGTACATTGGAGGCTTCTGTTTCGGTGAATAGGTATGACCCGTTGTTAAACCTGCTCTGTGGTGTACCTAGGTATAAGAAGTAAGTAAGTAAAAGTACCATGCCTACACTATAATAGACTTGCCTACTACCTCTTACAGGACTTTTATATTCCGTACATATGTCGGTAGGTACCCTAACACCACACGTGAGGGCCAAGATCTTGGTTCACCTAGGTATACGGGCTCCCAGAATACACTAGAATATTAGGAGACCGGTACTTCCCGCTTACCGATTGGCTAATGGCTCCGGATTCTGTCCCCTAGTATGGCCGCCGATTCGCTTGTCTCTTGCTAATGCTGAGAATTGCCGCACGTTGAACCATTCTACTTAGGTGTAAGGAAGCGAGATAACGAACCTACCCACTTCCGGCAGTTAAATCCACCAAGATATAGTGTACGTACGTACAACCGTGTCTAACTATGGACGTAGCTCGACTGCTTACTGGTAACTAATTGGTACCTAGCCAGCAAAGTTTTACGTAGTGCCATTTGAATTTGGCCTCCGCTCGGTCCGGGATGACATGAATCGGCCCTAACACTAGTGTGTAGATGGACAAGATTGTCTCCAGCGAACGTTATGCTCTTTAGTAAACTTCTTCACTACATAGGTAATCTGTCCAGTTGAGATGCTGCATCGTCAGGTGCGGGCGTCACATTCTAGATTTGTAGTGTACCTACATACAGTACCTACTGTACACTTCCTAGCTAGCAGGCCACCGCCATGTCCTGTTTTTGACTCTTATCAGCCGCCGGAGTCGGCAGCATATGTTCTAGGTTAAGATTTTCGTAGATGGAGCCCGAGGCTATTCCGTTTCTTCTTCCCTTGGGCCATAAAGACACCTAAATTCCGTAGTGGATGAAACTGGGTCGTGTGACTCGTGTCTACCTAGGTAGGTAGATATCTGAATAGATACCCCCTATACGACAGCAAAGTCGTGGTCAATATAGGTACCGGTATCCAGCGGTGCAGCTTGATTTCCTTTTATTCGTCATCGTGCCCGTTTTCTTGGGCTCTGTACGTTTCCAGACTACACTGATTAATCCTCAGCTCTTCCCACTTCCTCTCACCAGGACGAATTTGTTTTCGTACCTGCCAATCGCTTCGTCGCAGTATATCCAGCCCTTCGCGAGAGACGACGTGAAACGATTAACTCACCATGGGGGCACCCGCAGTCGAAACCGAGAAGGCCCCAGTGTCGGATTCGGCGGTACTCCCCGTCGAAGGCTCCCAGACAGACACGGAGACCGGCCAAGTCGGTTTACAGCGTAACCTAAACAGTTGGCATCTTCAATTCATCGCCATTGGTGGTACCATCGGCACGGGCCTGGTAAGCTTCAGCTTCACCTTTTATGACAAGAAAAGCGATTTTGTTGTTTTAATTTTTTTTTCTAAAACATGAGTAGTTCCTCGGAAGCGGAAAGGCTCTCGCGACGGCAGGGCCTGTAGGATGCTTGATAGCGTTCGCGTTCGTCGGCTCGATTATTTACTCGATTATGGTAAGCCTCGGCGAGATGGCCACGTACATGCCTGTCGCGGGTTCCTTCACGGTCTACGCGTCTCGATTTGTCGACCCTTCGCTTGGTTTTTCCATGGGTTGGATTTACTGGTTCAGCTGGTCGTCAACGTATGCGCTCGAGCTCGTCAGTGCTGCCCTCGTCATTCAGTATTGGAGCAAGTCCTTGAACGTTGGTATCTTCATTGCCGTGTTTTGGGTCATCTTTACCGGTCTCAACTTTCTCCCCATTCGCATATTCGGAGAGCTTGAATCATACTTCGTCTCCATCAAGGTCGTTACAATTATCGGCTTCGTCATTTTCGCTATCTGCATCGACGCAGGAGCTGGTCAGCAGGGTTACCTTGGGTTTGAGGCATGGGTCAATCCGGGGCCTTTCGCTGAGTACATGGTCCCAGGACGTATCGGTCAATTCGTTGGATTCTGGTCTGTTCTGGTGACTGCAGGTTTCTCGTACCAAGGAACTGAGCTTGTCGGTATCGGTGCAGGTGAGACCGCGGACCCCTCCAAGAGCGTGCCCTCGGCCATCCGATGGACTTTCTGGAGTGTCTTCTCGTTGTTTGTGGCGACTATCTTCTTCATTGGAATCACGGTTCCCTCCAACGATCCTGGTCTTCTGACCGGCGCAAGCGATGCTTCGGCCTCACCTCTCGTCATTGCCGCCAAACTAGCCGGAGTACCCGTCCTTCCACACATCATCAACGCCGTCCTGCTTACTGCCGTGCTGTCCGCCGCGAACTCAAACGTATACGCTAGTAGTCGAATTATCATCTCGCTCGCCGAAGAGGGACACGCGCCCGCGTTCTTCAAGAAGACTAACCGCTTCGGCACGCCGTATTATGCCGTCAGCTTTTCGGCCGCCATCGGCCTGCTCGCCTTCCTCAACGTCTCATCGGGAGGTGGCAACGTTTTCAGCTGGCTGTTGAACGTCGCTAGTATAGCTGGTTTCACTGGTTGGTCGTCCATCCTTATCTGCCATATCGTCTTCATGCGGGCACTGCGATACCAGGGCATCTCACGAGACTCGCTGGCCTTCAAAGCGCCGCTGCAGCCCTATCTGGCTATATACGGACTTTTCTTCTGTGTGCTCATCCTCATTACAAACGGATTTACCGTGTTCATTAAGTGGAGCACCAGCGGATTTTTCACAGCGTATATCAGTCTCATCATATTCATTGTACTTTACGCAGGACATAAGATCATTTTCCGGACGAAGATAAAGTCCGTGTCCGAGATCAATCTTGAGCTGGACAGGGCAACTTGATAGTTATAATTTTTAAATAGTGTTTTATGAAGAGCGCTCTATTTACAGTATATCTGATTACATGACTCGTTGCCAGTGCAGATACATATGAGTGAATTATTGAAGAGTACGAAGTACTTACTACCTATGGCGAACCTACTACCTACCGACCAAACACAGCATTTCAGAGATCTTTCGATAGCGGTACCTATTAAGAACCGTTGTTACCGATACTATCACAAGAGTGCCGAAGTCGGTCCCCTAACTAAACCCTGAGTGGATTAGGGCTCGCAACACAACTAGGTAGATTACCTTACCAAGCTAAATCTGTGCACTTATTCAACCACCTTCCGGACCGTCCCTTTTGTAAGAGATGTGCGCGGTCCGTCCCCATCACTCGGGCTTGTGGTTTAGTGGTATAATACTCCCTTAGCATCTGCGTGTCTTTCGAGACGTCCGCGACGGTTTGGGAGTGGTCCGGGGTTCGATTCCCCGCGAGTCCAGCATCGGTGGTTAAATCCCACTTATCATACCTCCTTCTACAAACACTTTTTTTCTTCTCTTTTTTACTGATTCATCTCGACTGATTAATTAATGGCGTGCTCGGTGGCAGGTGCTGAACGCTTGGCAATTGAAAGGACCCTTATCTCATAGCATGTATGGTGGGCTTTTGAGCGTGAGCCTGCTGTATACGTATTTCACCGCACAGATTCCGTCTCGAGGTAAATCAACCTCAACATCAGCGGACCTGACCTGCGAAGAGTTTCCGAGGCGGGGTGGGAAGCGCGTCCTTTTCTGAATAAGTGTGGACAAGACATAAACTCTATGCCCAAGGAGCAGGGAAACGAGCAGCGAGCCACGCAATTCCTCGCCGAGCTTCCAAAGCTACCCGTCAAATTGAGCGAATATTTCGATGCCGAGATGACGGGGTTGAAAGGTTTCTTCTGCATGCCTTCCTAGTGTATTGTACACGTATATTCACACCCTATAGTGAGTTTATGTTGAAAACTGACGTCCGTACGTCCGTACGTCCGTACGTAGTGTATGAACCTTGTACTAGCTAGGTACCTAAGGTAGGTAGGTATGTAGGTAGTAGGTTCGTTCACGACGGCTCCGTATCTTCCTCGTACAGTAAAGTACGTAGTGCTAGGTGCCGGTATTCCGCACGCGCCCAGTCTAGGTATTCAGTAGTGTAAGTAGAGGTTCCCACTGCGGCAGTTCCGCGGGAGGCAGCCATGCGACTTTCTATACGTTACGTCATTGCACGTCTGTAGGTATTCCATGCTTCAAGAATTCCGTGTGATTCCTTGTTACGTATGTGAACCACTCCAGTAGAGGCGTTAAACTGGTGTGTCCGTAAGCAGACCAATCCGGCACTCAAAACGAACATGATTTGCAGAATTAGTTACGCCGCGTTAAGCCTCATCGGTAGGCCGTGCTAGGTATCAGAACCTTATATAATCAGAAACAATGAGTCAAGACTTGAATGTTCAATTGAATTGAATTGAATAATACGTACGTAGTCTTGTGTAAGTTGTGTTCTGGTAATCTGTCTGCCTTAACCTCACGCCCAAAAATACGGATTCGTACTTACGTACCTATCTTCTGTGGGGTGGGTCCAGCTAATCCATTTCGACCAATCAGGTTTTCCCCATCGTTTCAATGGGGAAAACGGATCCAACAAGCCCTTCACGATGATGATCGGAGTATATTTTCTGACACCAACGGACACAAAACTAGACTTCCACTTCTAAAATCTATCAGCATGTATATATGACTGTTATGCTATTATATCACGATTTTTCCGGTCAAATAGCGATACTGGCGTCTTTCTAAGTCCCGCCCAACCTTGGTACAGGCCCCTTTTCCTCCTTTCCGGCTGGATTTTAGTGCGGCTGACTGGGAAATCACTGCGGCGGAGTGTATTTTGGTACTCCAAGTCATCTCTGTTCAATGATACTTGCTTGACTGTAGTTAGTGTCGAGTTCAGAAGCCTTAGCAGCTGTCTCGCGGCTCCTGGAAAGGTTAACAGGCCCGGTAAGCAGTATGGTGACCAAACCCCTTGATTCGAGCTCTATTTTCTCTTGATTGATTAGTTCTATCCGTCCTGAGTATCCTATCTATCCCTTCAAAGTGCTGAGAGCCCATTTTCCATGAGTAAGATCGGTATATGGTACGCAAATAACCTCCTTGAACGCGAAAGTCAGATAAACTAGATTCACTTCGAATCATAGCCATTGACTTCAGCAAGAGTATTTTCCAACGCCTGGAGAAACCTCGTAACTTCAGTCTCCGTACCAACAGTGATCCGTAGACAACCAAGGCAGCCGTGCTCCTTACCCCTGAATCGTACCACCACGCCCTTGTTCTGAGCCAGTGTCTCATAGACAGCAAGTGCCACTGCATTATCAGGTTGTCCATCTTTATTCAGCATTTCGTAAAGAAGGAAATTACTCTCATCACCACCGCGTAGACGCCCGACGCCCCTGATGTTAAGCAGCTCCCGAATCAGGCGGTCACGCTGCGCGACGATCTTTTCTCGGTGTGCCTGCATAACCGCTATTCCTTCCGATGACAAGGTTTTTATGGCCAGCACACTGGTTGGATCGGGGATATTATACGGCGCCTTGAGACTGTTTAGAAGTCGCGCGATAGGCGCCGACGTGAACAGGGCGCCGAGCCGGATGCCCGCCATGCCGAAGCCTTTAGATAACGTCTGCATGACGGCGAGGTTGGGCCATTCGGCAACCCACTCCGCGAGCGATGTACCTTCAGGAGAGAAGTCGACGTATGCCTCGTCAACGACGACCACACCATTCCATGTTGGATGTTCTAGTAGCTGTCGTATGTTGTCCTTTCCAAGCGGGGCCCCTGTCGGGTTGCCTGGAGAGGTCAAGTAGACCAACTTGATGTTTGGCTCATTTGATAACGCCTCCTTTACCTTGGCAACGTCGAGCGCAAATGTTGGAGCGGGTAGGAGTGGGACCTTGACCAGACCCACGTCGTTTACCTGCGCGGATACGGAATACATGCCATAAGTAGGCGGGCAGACTAGGATCCTGTCCCGGCCGGGCACGCAGAAACATCGCAAGAGTCCATCGATGGCCTCATCACTCCCCACGCCCACGAACAGATTATCAGGCGTGATAGTCTTGTCTGAGTGCTGGTGAGTATTTCTGAGATTACAGAACAACTGCTTCAATTCTCGCTGGTGTGGATCCGGATACCTGTGTAGGCCTGCGAAGTTAATCTCGGGCCAGGATGAGACTGATAATGCCGAGGAAGCAGATGCAGGTATCAGAGATGGACCGAATGCATTCTCATTGGCATCTAATAATATATTTGTGCCGTCATCTTTGTAATCACTGAATCAACCAGGTCAGCACTATAACACTTGACACAGGAATAATTCCGGGGGCCATACTCTCTCGCACAGCGATAGGGTTCAAGCGCCAAAATGTTGGGTCTCGCACAAGTCTCCAAGTTGAATGCTGGCATTCTCAGATGAGATGTGATGTGATCAAATCTATGTCTTTCTTTGACTTTCCGTAGCTGTGAGTATTTTCACAGCTGTCTATTTACGTTGCCCCTACGGATTAGTATGAGATCAATCTGGTCTGAATAATGAGCTTGAGTCAAGTCTGGATCCGATCGGAGTAACCCGCCAAGCCTTGATCGCAGCAGTGGGGTAGTTAAATATGCGCTAACGCTTATAAGCAATATATTTTTCAGAAACATTTGAATCTAAACTTAATCCGGTAGCTAATGGGACCCACTATCAATTTCTCTGCACGGAAAATTTCGTCGCGCCTATTTATGGGCCATCGACATCGCGCCAGTGAGCATCATATCCAAGATGATTCTCGAGACCTAGAGTCGATACCTAGCCCAATTCAGAATGAAGATATTCTTTTTGGAATGTAGAGAACTACCTACGTCCTAGCATGCAGGCCCATTACGCGATATTACACACAATTATCTCACCCCGATGAAAAGCCGCCCTTAAACAATGCCATTATGAAGTGTCGATGGGCATTTCTTAGTTGTCTTAGATGAAAATCGCGCAGAAAAAGAGAAGATGTTAAGTTAGGCACCGATCCGAGCCTATCTCGTGAAAAGATAGGATACCGCCGCCGCATGGAACCATAAACGGAGATCGAGAAGTGTGTTTGGCAAGGAGCTTCATGTATGAAACTTTCCGTCGTTTGGCGCCAAAGCTCAAGGCGGCAGCGCCGCTTGAAAAGCCTGCATTCGACATGAGACAACCTTTAGGCTACAGAGCACGAAAATCCCGAAATGTTAGTCTTAACAGTAGCCGCGTACCTCCCGCAAGACTTCGCATTGATCTGACCTATCTAGCCATTAAAGCGATCAGTGAGAGCAGTCTTGCTCGGCGATGAGTTCGTAAGAGCGTATGCAATAAACGGTGCTGCCAGTGAATTAGGTTGATCGCCACCGCCGATCTCCTGCTGATCGCTGAATCAAATAAGACAGTGTTTAGGCAGGAAGAAACATGAAGGGATCAAGCCAGACCGATGAAACAATTCGTACAACGGTATCGGGGCAGGTAAGGGGGCCCATTTCTGAATGCACCGTTTCCCCAAGTTCCTAGGATACTGGGAGTTCAGAAATCCATCTACACTACCACCGTGACCAGGCCTTTGAGTCCTCTCGGGGGGTCTCCGGAGGATCCGCCGATTCAAACGCCCTACGTCCTACAACAAGAGAGGGAATAGCGCCATGTTCCAATTTCTCCGTACTTCCCGAGAATCTTCATAAGAGGCATGACTGAGGAATCTCAATCACCCTCTTGCGTCGATGCGTTTCAGCCCAGTCACACATCTTTTTAATATTTTTCTGCATATGCTTCTGCCTACAGCCTGCCGGATCGCAGCATACTCGTTTGCCGAAATGCAAAAATGAGGAGACCAATCGTGTATATATATAGATGGTCTCGGTTGCATTAGCAGCAGGCGCAGGTGCAGCATTGAGCGTGCGGCGTAGTCAAATCGGGGGCATGCAAGATCCTCATTTCCAATGAATCATAGGACGGGCAGTGCTTAGGTATCGAAGGAGGTGCGATTAGGTCCTCGACGGATGCATCCAGGGACGGCTTGTTTTTCCTCTTTGGGCGTTCAATCTCGCCATCTTTTAAGGGCGCGGTGCGGGCATCGAACACCAGCAGTCCCTGGACAGTGTTTAGCCCTGTCTATGGCATGCCTGCGGCCCTAACACACCTGTCGATGTATCATCCAGAGCCAAAGGCAAAACACGTCAAAGTTGTCATTTTTGGGGCTGTCTGCACTACGTGGAAGTGACGAGCCCCAGATTAACGACAATCAATATGCCGTTTGACTCTTATGTTCTGAATGAACCATTTCTCCCCTAATATGATGTCGTTTTTTACCCCCTTTTAAGAGCTCGCTGCTAACACGTCACACAGCAGACAGGCAAAAATAATCTGCATCCATCATACCCATACCCCTCTTTGAACGGCCTAAGC